GTTTCTTTCTTTGTTTCTTTTTTTGAAAATACATTTATTTATTTGTTTATTGTTAGTTTTCAACATTCACTTCCATAAGATTTTGAGTTCCAAATTTTCTCCCCACAGTTTCTTTAGCGTTATCTCTTCATCCTCAGGAATGCAGAGGTCAGGTCACCTAAGAAATCCAGTTCTAGACTGTCCAAGAACAATAACAACAAATGTATATTAAGTGCCTTTTATGTTAGGCCCTATGCTCAGTGCTGGAAATAGAAAGACAAAAACACAAATTGCAATAGTTCCTGCCCTCATTGAGCTTACATTTTACTGAGGATGGAGGGATATAACATGTACACTGAGAAGTAATATAAGATAATTTGAGGAGACAGAGAATACTAATAACTAGAGGCAGGGTGATCAGCAAAGGTTTCTAGTGTTAGATGGTAAAAAAGGTTTCTAGTAAGAAGCAAAGGACGGCACAAAAACATAGGTAAAGACATGATTTCCAGAGATGTGGGATGGCCTGTATGCAAAGGCATGATGGTGGGAGAAGACATGACAGATTCAGGGAGAAGCAAGTAGTCTAGTTTAGCCATAATGTGGAGAGATGTGAGATACTGGGAAAGGTTGTTTCTAGTCAGACTTTGAAGGGCTTTGAATTCTAAACTAAGGATTTTATATTTTAAATTTGAATTGATAGGGAGCCACTGAAGCTTCTTGAGTAAGGGAGTAATTGTATCCTCTGTGCTTTAGGAGGATTATTTTATGGCAGATGTATGGAACCTAGACTGGAGAGGGGAAAGATGGGAAATAGAGAAACCAATTAAAAGGCTGCAATAGTTCAAGCAAGAGGTGATGAGATCTAGAACTTGAGTGGTGGCCACGTGGCATCCCAGATAACCTGCCTGATGCATGTGTATGCCCAGCAGAATTATAACTAGGATTTTTTTCCCCTAGGATAAAACAATTAGGGTGGCAAGGTGACAATGGAACAGAAGATGGTTAAACTGCAAGCATAATTGAGTTTCAGGTCCAGCTTTTACCCCTGCAAGGGTAGGGGGTTGAACAGTGAAGTGGGGAAGTTCTTGGGATAGAGGCATCAACCTGATGGGATCCTGGAGCTGTTAATCTGGCCAAGCAATAGAGTAACTAACCCAGGTTCCCTTCTCTGTGAACTCTGTCACTGTGTAAACCACAGAGTTCAGCAGAAGTGTTTGAAGCATGAGAATGATAGTCTCAGCTGGAAGTAAGCACCCTCCCTCTCCACCATGGAGAAAGTGTTTCCTTTTCTATGTCAGCATCTTTGGACAAAGCTCCAATTGTCCCACCGTGGTTGTAGTTCTCATACCCAGGGTATGACTGACATGTCTGCAGCAAATATTAGCTTGTGTCTAAAGACTTAAAGAAGAGTGCCTGAAGGTATTGATGATGGTTTTGAGAAGGGGGAAGCTCTGGTAATCTAGATTTAGGCCAAGACAAAATGCATTTTATGAAAGGTAGACATTATCTAACCCAATGACTATGAGAGGAAAAAAGGCTTGTGGTGCTCAGCTGGAACTCAGTTGAATCCAACTTCTTGGATCCTTTCAACTAACCGGTAGACTTAATATCATTAATACTAGTGCTCATTACTTTTTGGTTTGGATTTAAACCAGATATGCCTGAAGGATTTGGCATCTCTGGTTTTCTATAGTTCCTAAGGAAGGCAGGATCTGGTATATCTAGGGAACCAGCCATTGATAGAATTGTTATGTATTGGCCCATCCAATTTTGTCACAGGAAAGGCTTCCACTGTTAGGAAATACATTACCTCCAGGAGTGCAGCCTAATCCAATTGGGGCAGTTCTGTTTTTTTCCCTCTATTGAGTCAAAATCTACCTCCCTATAATTCCCATTCATTGGTTTTTATTTTTTCCTCTGGGGCCCAAACAGAATGAATCTAATATCTCTTCCATATGAAAATCTTTTAGATATTTGGAGAGAGATAATATCTTTTCATCTCCAGGGTAAGCCTTTGTGATTTCTCCAACCAGTCTTCACATGGTATGGCTCTGAGCTCCCTCACCATCTTAGTCCCTTTCTGGAAATACTGCAGCTATAGTCTTTCTGTGGAGAATGCTGCATATGGAACAGGTGGAAAATAATCTGGATAGACTTTGAAAGATGGGTATAATTTGGATGGCTAGAAGCTAAGGATTCTGGTATGTCTAGTTTCCTAGGTCATAAACTTGAGTTTTGCTCAACCTGGACATTAGTCCTACTCTTTGGAGATGGTATGGTATAGTAGAGAGATCACTGTCAGTGGAAAGATCGTTGTCTCTGGAGTCAGAAGACCTGGCTTCAGACATCACTTCTGATACATTACCTCTGTGACCATGGGCATGTCACTTACTCTCCTCTTCCCCATTAGCCTCATTTTTCTCATCTGCAAAAGGATGTGGTTGGATTAAGTGGCCTCTGAGGCCACTCTTAGCTTTAGCTCTGTTGTCTTATCATCCTGTTCATCCTTGCCAGGCATCTTGAAATCAACAATCCCCTATTTCCCACATTTATAGAGACCCTCCCCCCACCCTGAACTCATTCTTTGTAGACTTCTGGCTTCCTTCTAGTCTTAATATACTCAGTCATCATCTACCTCCATCATTTAAGGCTTGTCCTTCCTCCTGTATCTCTCACACATCTTTTCCTACTCGTCTTTCCCAGTCACTTTCCTGGCCATTACAAATGAATGGACAATGACATAATTGGCATCGAGAAGACCTTGGAGAGGAGACTATTAATCAAGGCTACACCCCTTCCCCCCTCTTTTCCACTGGATCTAGGACCAGTTCAATAGGAGAGCCATTCAGACTCAGAAATTCTGTAATAACTTCTCTTTTCCTCTTCTTTCTGGATTTTAGGTAGGAGAGGAAGGGAGATGGGGGAAGGAGATGTTAAGATCCTCCAGGGGAGGGTTCTACAGTGGAGAATCTGGTGGGTACCTTCCTAGATCTACTTAAGAACTCTGAGAGGGAGGGCTAGGAATATATCAACCCACTTCCTTAGAGCTTTCTTTTCCCAGACCTGGATAATGCCCCTCAGGGCTCTCCCTACAAGGCTTTTGGGGGCAAGGGGATGGGAGTTCACATTTGATCTGGGTGTTTTCTTCCTTGGAACCACCTGCCTGTCAAACGTGGAATCTTAGAAATCTGTCTTCCTTCAAAACTCATCTCAAACTTCATCTTTGGGAGGAGGCCTTTCTTGGTCCGCTCAGTTGCTAGTCCTTTCCCTGCTAAGATTACCCACCATCTACTGTATATAGTTTGGAAGTACCTATTAATGTCCATTCGATGCAAACTCCTCAAAGACAAGAAGTGTTTTTGCTTTTTCTTTGTATCTCTAGTGTTTAGAACAGTGCTTGGCCCATCCTGAGCAAACACTTTGCATCTATAGGATTATAGCTCTTGAATTGGGAGGGATTTTAAAGGCCATCTAGTACAACCCTTTAATTTTACAGATATAGAACCCAAGGCCCAAGGAGGGTAAATTCATTGCCCAAGGTCATGCCAGTAGTGAATGTCAGAGGTGAGATTTGAACCCAGGTTCTTTGATTCCAGAGTTAGCACTTTTTTGTTATGTACCACGCTTGTTGATTGATGTAATGGAAAGTACCTGAAACTCCTTGATGAGAGAGAGAGAGAGGAAGACAGAGGAAAAAAAAGGAAAAGAGTAAGAAGAAGAGAGAAAGGGAAATGAGTGGGGAAAAGGAGAATAAGAGAAAATATATGGGGAGAAAGAAAGAAAAATGAAGAGGAAGAAAAAAGCTTGAAAAGTTTTGCCTGTCCTCCATCCATGCCTCCTCTCTGTGGCACCTGTGTTGGCTGCCTCATGCCCATCCCTAGAACATGTGGCATGGTGCCCCATCCCTAGCTCTCAGGTGTGGCTGAAACCAGGGGAAGGAGAGAAAGCCATTGCTACTTCCAGGCTCTTTGTCACCCAATGCTTGCTGTGGCTGGCGGCAGGTAGGTATTCGGTGTCCCCTTGGGGGATTTGGTTCTTGGGCTGGCAAGAGCTGCAGATACATTTATCTGACTGCCTTCCAGGCTGGCAAGGGAACTGCTTCTGAATTTTATTCTCTCTCTTCCCGTCTTTCATTTCTCTCTCCTTGGACTGACAAATGGTTCCCATAATGGACCCAACCCCAAGGAATGGGGGCCCAATTACTTTCTTGGCCTTGATGGGTCTTGTGGGACTTTTTGGTGCTTGTCAGATGAGAGATTGATAGAGCAGTGAGAACTAGATCTCATGCTGGAGGCCACGAAGCTGTTGGACTAATGACTTCCTTATTAATATGCATGAGCTGTCTCATTTAGCGGGTGCTCTTGGGACTTGATTAAAGTAAGGAGGACTGCTGCTGTGGGAGAGGCCGGTGTGCAACTCAGTTGGCTGTGCCTTCTATCCTGGAGAGAGCAGGGACCATGTCAGTCTGGTGGGGGTAGATTTAGACTTCTCTGAGCAAGCTGCCCATTCCTTCCTCCCTCCCTTCCTTCCTTCCTTCCTTCCTTCCTTCCTTCCTTCCTTCCTTCCT